AGGAATATATAAAGTTGTGATCAAATATTTTTTGGCATTTATTAATATTTCAATACAAATGCATTCAAAATCACTAAAAAACTGTTTTTCTAATGAGTTATATATGTTTTTAATGCCTATGAGAACACCCCCTCCCCGACCCTCTCGGTCTTTACGATATATTTTGTAATTATTTGTTATATAGTTATTAGTTATACTGTCTGTTAGCCAACTCTCGTTGATTATAAAAATATCTGCATTTAATTCAATTAGTTTTGCATTTAAAAGTTGTATTTTGTTGCAAATACTGCGAGCGTTAGTCAAAAATACATTTAAAAACCTTAGATTTTTGTCACTTATTGATGGGTTTGTTGTCTCTGTTGAAGGTCTGGGATGTAGTACCGAGTGTTGGGATCTATTGGTATAGGTATTGCATTCTGACCGCGATATCCGTTGTCTAAAAAATTTTGTGAAAAAGCGTTGTTGTGTTCCCTTTGACGAGGAATTTGCGGAGAAGTGACCGGAAAATATTGGGAATTTTGTGGCATTTGTTGAGAGTTTTGATAAATATATTGCTGAGTATGATTGCGACCATTATTTGGATATTTGGATTTGTTGTGCCAACAGGTATTTGATGTGTGGCCAGACTTGTGACACGTCCAACACGTTAAGCGCCGACGGTTTCCATTTGGTCTGAGGTTACCATTGAATCTCCGGTTACCGTTCAGACTGTGGTTACCGTTCAGTCTGTGGTTAACGTTAAACTTGTCATTTCTTGAGGTGTCGATGGATTGAATCATTTTTTCCAATTTTGTGAATCGTATTTCAAATTTTTCAAATTTTTCTTCAAGTGATTTGATTGACTCGTTTGATTGCGAGGGACCGGAGGTCTGATCACCGGAATTGTGGTCAATATTGGTATCATCGGTGGTATCATTGGTGTCATGATTGGTGTCATTGTTTGTATTGATAGCACTATTGTTTATATCATTAATAAAATCGTCGAAATCTCTGTTTACATCTCTGATGCTATCAATAAAAATGTTCACTAAATCATTGATATTGTCTTTCACTTCGACCAGTGGTATAGTCTTACGACTCTTAGAGTCCCAATTAGACACCAATTTGCGGTGATTTTTAATTAAATTAACAAATAAATCACTATTAATAGTAAAAACACCCATTTTTATTTCAAGCACATGCGCACAAGTCAGAGAGAGAGAGAGAGAGAGAGAGAGAGAGAGAGCTGATAATGAGTTAAAACAAATAATACATTAGTGTGTATTTACAACTTATTTATTTATTAACACTAATAATAGGGTTATTTTCCACTAAAACCATATTCCTTGTGTAAATAATTGTTTAAACATTAGGTGTGATTCAAAGCAAACATAATGATATTTTAGTATAAGCTTAAAATATCTAAGTATTTACGGTCGCAAAACAATTCACATTAAATGTACACAAAATATTTGCACACAAACACAGTGAGCGCTAATGTAAAGTCTATGGGATTTTCCGGGCATAATGTTTGCTGATGATCATAATGTAAATTCCATGATTATATCCATAATACCACAGGAATGAAGGTGACTTTAATCAATATAAATCAATATTATTAATAATGCACATTATGTTCGCCTATGGGTCAGTATGTCGTACATATAAGAGGGCCGGATATCGTGCACTAGTCGTTCAGTTGACATACGAGTGCTCATTAGACAAGTTGTTGTCAAATTAATTTACTCGATATCTATTTAAAAATTATTATTATTCAACACTATTTGAAATAATGGCCCGTTTATTGCTGGCGAGTCTAGTATTGTTGGCATTGCTTGTGGTCACTCTCATTGATGGTAAATACACACACAATAAAACATGTTTAATTAATTAAATAGCATTTATTAATTGACCAATCATTAATAACACGGACATGATCAAATAAACTCATGTTCTTGTGATAGATATGTTGTTTATATTATTATAAAATGTGTTAAACTGATTACTAAAACATTGCAACAAGTTGTGTTAACCATAAAACATACACTAATTACTCTAACATTAATTACCTTGATTTTAATTAATTAATACAGTGACGGCCGGACACCACAGGCACCACCACCGCTCACCACAGCTACTACTCGGCCGTATATCACCCCTATTGGCCACCTATGAGGGCCAACTGGGCCGGTACCGACACCACCATCATCACCGGCACCGGTACCACAGCTTACAGCACGAGCTACACCGCGTGCGCCAATTAGAGACGGAACTATTTGAGATGGAACGCTCCGGGGCTGCCTATTTGGAGCCTGATTATTTTTTCGATGTCGAACGTCGACTTATGCGCCACGAGGCCAGGTTGGCCGAGATATTGGAGTAGTTGGTCATCCTATTTGAGTTGAGCCCTCTCACTGCCATTTACACTAATTTGCTCCCATTTGACCACTCATGACATAATTTTGCGATTATTTTTATAAATCATTCATTTCTGATATTTATATTGTATTTGTTTTTATAACATTTTTATGTGATTTTTATTATTACCTTATTGTTTATGTATTTTTCTTAATTATTTATAATCATGATTCAAGTTCAAACAATTGTAATTATTTTTAAATGCTACGTAATTATAACTTTTAATTAATTTATTAAATTAATTAAGTTTGGCAAAACAACAAGTATACAAGTTTTAAAAATAAAAATATAATTAAAACAAAGATTTATTTTTATTTATAAGTATTAACTATAAATTCTATTCTTTGACGATAAAAGCATTTTTGCTTGACAAATAAATTGTGCATGAAATTAATTTTGTTATTACTTTATATACTTGATGTCTAAAATAGTTGTTTCAATTATGCGCTAAATAATACTTTTACAGCATATTCATACACTATTATTATTATACAGTACTTTATTATATACTATTGTATGTTCATAATTTAGCACGTGATTAATACATGATTGTCAATTTGTTTATTTCAGATCTATTGTCAATTATTATATTAATTGTTACGTTTTTTATAATAAATAAATTGTTTAATCTAAATATATTTACGTCATACATTAGTTATCAGAATATGTATTATAAAATACACCTTATCCTCGATTTAGGGAGACTCGATATAAGGCTAATTCGATTTAAGAGAGGGTTTTTTGCTGCACCGACCGCTCCTATGAGAGATTAACATTATGGCACTCGATATAAGGAAAATTCGATTTAAGCAAAACTCGATATAAGAGACATACTTTACTGCACGCACAGCACAGCTGCACTCTATTTAAGCAAATTTTATTTCAAAAACAGTAAATGAAAACGAGTTTTGTTCAGAAGTGTTGATTAAAAGCAGTAAATAAAAACACGTTTTGCATAAAAGTGTAGATTGTTTTCATAAAAACACATTTTGCCTTAAAAATGGCTGACAAACGATCTCTCGGGCTTACAACTGAGTTTTGAATTAATTTATAAATTAGAGAATTAAATCTCTATTAGTAGATAAAAGTGTTTAAAGCAAACTAAAATCACTGATTATATGAATTAAATATAACTTTATCTAATAAAACACGAATTTAAGCCTATATTTGCTGTTTTTAATTGAATTTATATGAGACTCGATATAAGGAGAATTCGATTTAAGAGACACATTTCTGTTTCACCAATCATTTCCCTAAATCGAGGATAAGGTGTATAATTATTTTGATCAATATTATATTGTTGTATAATTATGATTATTTACTGAAATTAATTGATCGATATAATTTTTATAATTATATTCTTGAAATCTATTTTTAGATTTATAATTATTTTGTTTATTATATTATTTTTAATAATATGTTTTATATAAGCTGTTTTAATTAATTTAAGTAGTATATGAAAAATAAATCTTATGCTAACTGTAAACTTTAAAATATTTTAAGCAATAAATGTTGCCTTATACTTTAATGGTAAATTTATTAATTTACAGCATATTATTGTGCGGATTTACATATCAAACCTATCAAATCTGTGAAATATACTTATCATACGAAACAACAACTAATGTCAAGTTTAGCGATGAGTATAGTCTACCAGCGATAACACTATGTATGAACACTGAACAACTAATACGACCAGAATTTAAATCTAAATATTATGACAAGAATAATAGATTTATACCCGATATATTTGCCAACCAATCTGTAAATAGCCAGTTGGACCAACTCGTGCACATTAATGATTTGGTTAAATGTGATAGTAATATTAAAAACATAAAATATAATTGCACTTCCGTAGTGCCGTATCGCCGGTCCATCGCTTTCACGGGTATGACTTGTATTACAGTATTATCCCAATGGAAGGGTGAGTCGGATACTCGTTATACGGGTAACTTTCGCAGCATTAAAAATTCAGACGCCATTTCGTTTACATTTCGCAATAAATCTTTGATCAAAATGCTTGTTATTAAAGTGCATTCGCGAAGTGAACGGCTACGATATACTTACCAACGAGCATGGTATAATCTCGATATCGATAAAAACAATCAATTGAAAATATTGTACAGGAAAGAAACCGTGAAATTAAATCATAAGTTAAATACAAATCAATGTTTGGCGAGTGAGACAAATGAAGAATGCGTACTGAAATGCGTTAAACTTGAATATGACAACCATGGACAAATATCACCATTTATGTTAGAATACGACGATGATGATGATGCTAATCGAAGCTATTTTAATGTTATAGAATCGTGGACAAATGCTTATAGTTTGTTTAATAAACGCGAATCAAATTGCAAACGTGAGTGCAATGAAGGAATAGAATGTGTAAAACAATATTATGCAAATCAATACCAGACCAATAATCTAACAAATAACTTTCACATAAATAATATTTATATTAAATTATTATTCCCGAAAGACCCCGATAAGTTATACGAGGTATCATTGAAATTGTCATTCGTAGAGTGTGTGCTGTTTATCGGATCGCTGTTTGGTTTATGGTTTGGATTATCAGTTTCGATGTCTATTAATTGTATTTTACAATTATTCACAAAATGCCAAACACTAATTTATAATAATCCTCAAATTATATTAAATAATATAACAAATAAATGGCATTCAATACGTAATCATTTACATAAACCACGAGTTTTTCGTCGCGTAAAACGTCGTGTAAATCCAAGACCACAATTAAAACGTATTATTGCCGATAGTATTACATAAGGTTACTTAGTTTAGATTACATCGTATGACGCATGACCAAATAAATTTTGGTTGAGTACAGTTTGGCCTAGTACTTGGCCGGCGTTAATTGCAACCTAACTTATGTGATTAACACCAATCATTGTACCGGCATCACCATCACCATCATCACCGGTACCACAGATTACAGCACGAGCTGCACCGCGTACGCCAATTAGAGGAAATTATTTGAAATGGAATGCTCCGGGGCAGCCTATTTGGAGCCTGATTATTTTTTCGATGTCGAACGTCGACTTATGCGCCACGAGGCCAGACTGGCCGATATTTTGGAGAAGTTGGTCATCTGTGCTGACCACTCTCACTGCCATTTACATTAATTTGATCCCATTTGACCACTCATGACATAATTTTGTGACTTTTTATAATTCATTCACTTCTGATATTTATATTGTATTTGTTTTTTATAATACTTTTATGTGATTTTTATTATTACCTTATTGTATACTTTATGTATTTTTTAATTATTGATATTTATAATAATAATTTGAAGTTCAAACAATTGTAATTATTTTAAATGCTATTTCATTATTTGTTGATAATTGTAATTATAATTTTTAATTAATTTATTAAATATATAAATTCGCAACACAACTATTATTTACGTACAAAATTATGTACAAGTTATTTGTATAAATATAAATCAAAGATTTATTTTTAGTTTTAACTATTTATATAATGAAATGCTAGATTAAAAATCAATATGGATGTAACAATAAAATAATTAATGTAAATATCATGATGTAATGTATGTCCATACTATGTCCATACATGTAAATAATGTAAAATGTCAATAATTAAGGTAAATATTATATAAAGTTTATCATAATTAAATTTATGTTATTGCAATAATATTAACAACAGTTTTATTAAAATAAAAGAATTAACTGTATGTTTTAGTTTGAATGTTATTAGATAAGGAAAATAATATTTTATCAAGCATAATAGTGCTTGTAATTTGACAATCTAATTTGAAAATGCTGTCCACTACAACAATAATTAATTTATTATTAAAAACATTACTATTGAGTGGATTTCTATACCAAACGTATGAAATCAGTTTAATATATTTCTCATACGAAAAAAGTACCATGGTCATGTTTAGCGATGTGTTGAGTGTACCGGCGCTCACATTATGCATGCAAACCAAAGACCTGATAAGACGAGAGTTAAAGTATAAATACTTTGACAAACATGGTAATTTTATGCGACACGTATTTGCCAACCAATCTATGAACGACCAGATGAACGAACTCGTAGACATTGATGATTTATTTGTATGTTTAACCATGTACACAAATAAATCAGAAAATTGTATGAAGGTGGCTCAGTATCGCCGGTCGCTCACATCGCGGAGCTATCACTTTTGTGTGACAGTATTATCCCAATGGGTGGGCAACGAGTCAAATCAACTGTACCAGGCCAAATTCCGGACAAATAGAGGCGATCTGGCTATTAAGTTAAAAATAAATATTAAATCCATGATCAATTGGCTAACTGTTCACGTGCATTCGCGCCATGAAAAGCTACGAGACATTAAGCGCAAGGGTAATTGGGTGGATGATCCTAATAATTATAGCTATTTGGACATTTCTTACCGGTTAAAAACTGTCCAATTAAATCACATGGTAAATCGTGATAAATGTCTAAAATGTCAATTAATTGATAATTGCTTAATGCAATGCATGATTCGCCAAATTGACCAAGAAAGTGAATCTCTTTCCATAAACACGCTACATTACCACGATGATTATGGCTTTAATGGGCATAACCAATTTTATGTTAATAAGTCAATTAAGCGTATATCGTGGCCTAGTTATGAATTATATTGCTTGAATAAGTGCAATGAAATCAAGTGCATTAAAAACTATTACATGCCTAAATACAACGCTAAAATTACAGCACATAATAATACATATTTTGATATTTACTTATATTTACCTTCAGAACCCGATATGGTATACGAGGTTTCACTGAAATTATCGTTTGAAGAGTACGTGGTATTCATGGGATCACTACTTGGCCTATGGTTTGGTGTATCGGTCCTTATGTTCACTAATCTATTCACACAATTGTTTAATAAATATAAAATTTATTTTTGCATAAATAAGACTATTATTGTTACTAATAATAGTCAAAACGTATTTAATTTAAACATCACAAATAATCAGCATTTAGTACGTGGTAATTCTATTCAACCACGTGTTTCGCGTTTTAACTTTTACGGACACGCGCTTACAAACTTTAAGGGTTACAACTCATAAATAGATTAGTAAATGTTTAATTTAAATAAATAATAAAAATT